GCTCCAAAACCACCATACACGAAAAAGACAACCCTTAACCCAAACCCAATTTAAAAAAAAAAAACCTGACCAGCTTGGATTGGATCGGGTCAGAATTCATTGGACTCGAGTCTCATGCCCATCCTTACTGTACACGTCTTGTAATAAACTATTAAAATTCTTAACAATACTAACTTATAATCATTATAGATTAGTCAGAAAATAATTATTATTATTTTAAATAGCTATATTCCTAAAATTAAAAGTAGACAAACTGAACTTAAAAAATTCAAAGAGTTTAGGGACTAGATAAAATTAAACCAAAAAAATGCGTCAGAAAGTCTTGCATAAGTTCAATTTAAAGCTTGGAGGGATCCAAGCCAACTTGTCTAATCTAAACTATGCATGGCGTGAGCTTGAGGTCTCCTTATTTTACCTAAAAATTATCAAAATAGAGTACAGCACCCCACCCAACTGATGATTCATTTCAATAAGAAAATTGGAAAAATAAATAAAAACAAAAAGAAAGTCATATTTGATCACCTTTTCACTTTTTCCCCCCTGCTATCAAGAACAACAAAAATCTGGGTATGATTATCATGGTGATCTCCAACTCTGTAACCCAAAACCATCGTGTTTCCTCGAAGGACCAGAGGCTGGAATGGGGAAACGTCTAGGCAAGCATCCCAGAAACTGGCCTTTGTACCCAGATTTCGCCTTCACTTTGAAAACGTAGCCGGTTAATCTCGAACCATTGCAATGGCATACACTGGAAGAAGTGAAGACCAACAAGAGCCAAAGAAGAAGAACCAGTTGCCTTCTACATCGAACCATCTCGCACGGGAGGAAAACGGGAAGAGAGAAGCAAGAGCGGCAGAGGGTAGGCTTGTATGGTCGAGTTTTTTTGGGAGGATTTGATGAGCTAAAGTAAGAAACATATGGGGCACTGGGATTATGCTTTACAAGTTGGAGAAAGAACAAAGAAGCTAAAGGTTGAAAAGATTTGAACTAATCAAGACTTGCAGAGAAGAGGATTATGTGAATATAAAAACAAAAGGTTAGCTCTTTGTGAAATGTTTTGGTCCCACTTCATATTAATGGCCGACTGCAAGGGGAATTGCTACTGTTGTTTTAGACCCCATGTTTGCAGGCTTTTCATTTCAAGTTTTTCTGTATACTTACTAATACGTACAATATATACATACATGGTGAATTGCCCTAATTCAAGGGAAAACACAGCAAATAAACAAATACTTCAGCGTACCCTATAGTACTCGACTTAACATTGATATTTGAATTTGAGAGCTGCCATTCCTCCTTTGAAAAGCATTACTATATCTCGCAAGAATCAACCAGGATTCATCTTCTTGCTGGCCATTTGCTCATTAGAACCCTATGTTTATGAATGTAAGAGTGAAGTAAGTGATCAGATTGCCCCCATTGATTTGAAAGCATGTTTGGACCCCATTTGTTTTGAGTGCAAAAGGGAAAGTTATAGTGTGATTGACTTTAATCAAAGTTATAGTGTGATTGAAGTAATTCAGGGATTGTATTTTGTAATAAAGAGTCGCCGGTAATTGTTGAAGATTTTATCCCAGTTATGGGATGATTCTTCTGCACTTGGCTAGGAGCAACGACGGTCACTAACGACGATCACTATTAATTTAATTTATAAAACTTTAAGTTTTAAAATATTCAACATATAATTATAAATTAGTTAAAAATTAAAAATAAATTATTTAAAATAAAGAGTAAACTATATCAGTGACCACCTAACTATTACCCCTTTTCATTTTGACAAATATGTTTGAAATTTTATCAATCAGATCATTCAACTATTTAAATACATTCAATTAAGCCACTTGCCATTAATATTTAAAAGAGAAGTTGATGTGGCAGCTAAAATATTTGGTATAATTACACATTTGGTCATGTTACTTATATATTCTATCAATTTGATCTTAATTTTAATAAATTAAAATAAACTTAACCCTCAAATCAAATGGTGACATGTATAATGACTCAAAATTTAACTTTGAATTTTAATTTATTTTAATTTTAAAAGTTACAACATATTCTATATTAATAACAAAACATTTTTCTAAAAATTGAATAACTCAAGCAATAATGTATGATCTTAATTTTAATAAATTAAAATAAACTTTTATTAAAGATAAACATAAATTTTTATGTTATGAGATGAATTTTTATAATTTTAAAGAAAGACTGTGCAAACATGAAAGAAATATATGTCACATTTTTCTATTAGAAATTTACTGGATACAAATTTCTTAGTTTTACAGGTTAAACTATATCACATTTTTCCAGTAGAATGTCATTTACAAATAGTAGTAGGATAAAAAAATTTCCAGTAGAATGTCACTTTAGAATTTAATTTTGTATAAATTAAATTAATAGTGCTCATCGTTGCTGATCGAGCGCTGTAGAATTTTCCCAAGTTATGTATAGTTGTCGACAACTTATACTCTAATTAAAAACAAGGTAAAGTACATAAATAGTCCCTCAACTATAGAGTGATGTTTTGTTGAGTCCCTCAACTATTAAAAGTTATGAAATAATCTCATGAATATAAGGCTTTGTTTTATTGAGTCTCTCGACTATTAAAAAGCTACAAAATGGTCACTCGACTATCCATATGTTCTAAAATCATCTTTTTCTATAAAAAATTAACAACAATTTGAATTTGACGTTAATCTATTCACTGAGATATGATAGTCGTTTGATATTTTAAGATCATATTTTATCATATCACAATCAGTGGGTTAACGTTTAGCCAATGGACTTAATCTAACAAAAATGATGAGTTTGGAACATTTGAATAGTCGAGTGAGCATTTTGTAATTTTTAATAGTCAATGGACTTAATCTAACAATTTCCTATACTCAAGAGACCAATTCATAACTTTTAGTATTCAATGGACTCAATAAAGCATTGTCCTATAGGGGACCATTTGTATACGTTACTCTTAAAAATATATTAAAAGGGTATTTGATAAAAGAATAGAAAAAAATTAAAACTAATTTCAGGTGAAAAAAGTCAAATTAAATTAGGTGACTAGAACAAAATAAAAATTTGAATTTAATGATAATTTTAAAGAAAAAAATTGGATGACCAAAATAGAACCAAGAACATAATTAAGTGACTAAATATATATATTTGTTCTTATCTTTTTAACATAGTTTGAAACAAAATATAATTTGAAACAAACGAGATAAAAAGTTAAACGTTAAAAGAACTAAATAATTTTAAAAAATAACCCCATACAAAATGTATAATTTAAGGAGTAATTGCAATTTAAACCTAAATATTTATGTTAATTTAAAATTAATATTTAAAAGTGGGATGTCTAAACAAATGGGCTTCCACAATTCAAAGGTCCACGGATTTCCTCACCTCTGAAATGGTGCAATCAAGCCGACCGACCGAACCGCTCCAGTGGGTCCCGCACCCCCATTATACTCATTTATTCTCCTCGGTCTAATCGCAACCGTTCATTTTGCATTGACGTCGTTTATGACTTTTATCCTACGGCTCACATTTTAAACTTCAAAATCCGAAGCACACGGCCGTAAAGATGCCCTTTGACCAGCAGCCCAGAAAGAGCGAGAAACCAATAAAATAAGAAGAATATTTCTATAAAAGAGTTAATTCTAGCAATGGGTCATCCAACTTTACATCTTTGTATAGGATTACGAGAATAGGCATAAATGACAATGAGATCCCTGTTTGATTTTATAGGGAAATCCTGATAATTCTGCGATTTTAAATTTAAATCTTTTTATGAAATGAATTTTAAATTACTGTGTTAGAAATTTATACGCGGACGCTGTCTGTCTTATCATTCTCAATTAATCTACAAACCTCCTATCAACATCAAATTAAACATTCAAAATGGATTTATTTTATACTCAAATATAAAATGAGTGCCCATGATATCTGAGATTTGGACTTTACAAAACATGGAAAAGCATTAATATTTTGTAATGCCTCTTAATATTGATGAATGTCATTAATTATTCAAATATGTGTTATTATACTGTGATTTTAAAAAGGGCAAATTGCATATTTAATACTTAAATTATCTTTTTTTATCAGTTTTAGTACTTAAGCTTTCATTTTTTGGAAAATCATATTTAACGTTTAGTTTTTGTTTCATTTTAATACTCCATTGTTAAAAGTGATTTGCACATTGCAACTTTTTTATGGATAAATTGCATTATTCATCACTCAACTATCTTCTCACTCATATTTTGGTCACTAAAAATTTACTTTTTTAATTTAATTACTTAACTTTCAAATTACTACTAATTTGATCACCTAACTTTCAATTTTTTTATTTTTAATTATATATTAATAAAGTAATAATAAAAATATCATGTCACAAAAATTATTAATAAAATAAATTAGAGTGGTAAAATATGAACAATTTGAAAGTTGAGTAGTTAAAATTGAAAATTTTAAAACTTTAGTATCAATATAGGAGTGAGAAGATAATTGAGTGATGAAATACATAATTTACCCACAAAAAATGCAGTGCCATTAAATTTTTAATGGTAATGTACTAAAATGAAAAAACTAAACGTTATGTGTGATTTTGAAAAAATTGAAAGTCTAGGTACTAAAGCAGATCAAAACTGATAATTTAAATACTAAAAGCGTAATTTACCATTTAAAAAATATTATCATTTATTCTATGACATTTTTGGTGAAAACAACGAAACTTATGTGGTTTTTCACTTCTTTTCAATTTTTATAAATAATTAAGAAAATTAATCAATATTTCAGGATGATCAATTCACTATGACACTTGCAATTAATGATCAAGTATTATATTTGAAACTCAAGAGACTAGAATGATAGATTTATAAAGTTTGGGGATTATTTGTGTATTTAATACTTAAAAAGCAAATAATGACGTCATTTTCGTTTGACTATTTCTCTCTCTTTCTTTAAACCCGCATCCCACTCTTCCTCTACTATCTCCCACAACTCTTTCGTTTGTGATTTTCTTTAACTTTCTCTCTGAATTTTCCTTTTTATCTAACTTTCTGGCCGTCCAAACGGGTAAAATAAGAAGAAGAAAAACAATGAGAAGGGATGATTTATACATTACAGTTCCGAGTCTTTTCCGGTGTCCGATATCACTGGACGTGATGAAATCCCCAGTGAGCTTGTGCACGGGGGTAACATACGACCGAGCCAGCATCCAACGGTGGTTAGACGGCGGCAACAACACGTGTCCAGCCACGATGCAAGTTCTTCAAAGCAAAGAACTCGTTCCGAATCGGAATTTACAAAGACTCATTCAGAACTGGTCCGACTCAGTCTCTCGACGTCAAGTCGACGCGGAACTGGCGGTGCCCAGCTCAGTCGTTGTTACTTCCAAGGATCAGGTCAAACTCTTGGTTAAACAGCTTGATAACAATTGCTTTTCATCGTTAACGAAGATCGCTTGTTTCGCGAGAGAATCGGAGGAGAACCACGAATTCCTCGCAAGAATGGACGGTTTTTTGAACGTGGTGTTTGATTTCATGAGGAATGCGGAATCGGACATCAAATCAATCGAACATATTGTTAGGATTTTGGATTTGATACAAAGCAAAATTCTGGACAAGAAGCCGTTGCTGGAATCAGACTGCTTGTCAACGTTTCTTTTCGTTCTACAACGAGGAGCTTCGGATTCGCAAATTCAATCGCTTCGATTACTGGAGTCCATAGCGATCGATGGAGAATCCAAGCTAAAAATAGCCGAAAAAGAGGGATTACTGCTCGAATTAGTGAATTCATTAGGCAAAGAGAAGGATCAACGATTGATCGAGGCCAACTTATCCTGTTTGAGCGCGATCACAAAGCCTAAAAGAGTAAAAACCAAACTGATCCAATATCGAATCATTCCACAACTGAAGAACCTCTTATCCGAACCAAACATGAGCGTTTCGATAGTCGAGAAGTCACTTAAAATGCTGGAAACACTATCGTTTTGCGAAGAAGGGAGAATGGAAATACGGCATGATTCGATATTGGTACGGGCGCTCGTGCAGAAGGTGTTGAAAGTATCGAACAAAGCGACGGAGCATTCGGTGACGGTACTTTGGATCGTTTGTTGTTTGTTTAGCGAGGAGAAAGCGCAAGAAGCGGTGTTGAGTAGTAGCAATGGGATGACCAAGTTCTTGTTGCTGATGCAAAGCGATTGTACTTCAGCGATTAGGCAAATGTCAGCAGATTTGCTCAAGATTTTTCGGGTAAATTCAAACTCTTGTTTGTCAAGTTATGATACCAAGACTACGCATATTATGCCCTGCTGATGAATTTGCTTTCTCTGTTAATTTTCCCTTTCTCGTGTTGAAGAAATGGGGTAAGAAGATTACCCATGCCTGTAAATCGAAGGAAAATTTTGTTAGCGGAATATTAAAAGAGAAATTGATTTGATTCTTGTTAGGGTTCGTCTTCTCTGTATCAGTCGTTATTTTGGTGTCATGAAAGTTACATGGGACGGGTGACCTAATTGATAATTATTTGAAAGTTATTTTAAAATTATTAGATATGATTCACTGAGATCATAGATGACGTAATAAGTCGGATTCATAAAATAATTTTTCCATACACACTTATCACCTTAAACAAATTAAATATCAAAATAAAATACAAGTAAAAATATATCATGCTAAAGTATTTTTGAAAGATACATAAGCATATCTAATAAGATATGTATTTGCCTTAGATGATTTAGAATATTAAATGATTAAATTGGAAAAAAAATCTCTTTAAAATAAAATTTTTATTCAATATTTTATTAAAAAAATATGTTATGAATGTTGAAGACACATGTTAGCAATAGCACGAGTGTTAAGTTAGATAGTATTTCAATAATTTATTCAGAACAAATGTTATTTTAATATTTAATTTTGTAGAGGATATATGCCTAAATCAACTTAGTTAAGTGATTAAAGGAATGGTTATCATTTTAGAGGTCACGATTTTGAGTATCAGCAATTGTAATATGTATTTTTTTAATTAATCAGATATGATTATAAAATAGTATATGTTTAAAAGATTTTTAATTATCTAACAATGAAAACTTATACATACTTGTAGATGTAATGTTCGAATTCAATACCTCAAATAATAACAATCGACGTGGGATTATTATTTCTAAGTGACAATTAAGAGGATTAGGGGTGGTTTTGGAGTGGAAATTGTTGCTCGTAATTTAGTGGGAAGCTTTATGATTGGTTGGGTAGTGTTGGGTCAAAGTGGACATATCTCACGTGACCTTTTCATTATAGTGTGAATTCGAAGGAATGCTCTTTTGAGGGGTTTAATTACAACAATTTGCTATGTAACAACAATTATTTGACAACATCAATAAATGATTGGTTCACTGATAATAATTTATACCAAACTAAATTATAATTCGAGGTTTAATATCACTCAAAATTTTATTTTATTTTATTCGGTTGTTATGTTACAAAAATTGATTTGAAAAATATGTGAAACTAACTATATAGACTAAGGGAGTTTTGAATTCTCCTGTATTTTGGACTATTTATCTGTATTTTTATCGATAATTTATTTTATCTTTCTTAAAATTTACTTTCGTCTTATAATATAAAATCATGCGACCGCTAGTGAAGCTTCTATCCCGAGCAAACCAAATAATGAACGAGACGTATCTTTGAAATATATGGTGGTGATCACATAGACTATGAAACAATAAGCCAAATCTTTCCTGTCATAATTGGTATATAAATTACGTCAAGGATTCCCAACTTGTTCATGATGGAACCTCCACCAGCATGTATATATCTATCATCCCAACATTTCATTTTCATTAGTCATTTTTAAAATTATTCGAAATATCTTTCGCTTATAATTTATAATTATTCTTTTAACATCTTTTGCCAAAATAAAAATAAATTTTTGTATGGAGGCAAACGATAGTGGAATTAGGTGCTTTTTAGTGTGAAATGAGTGGTAGGGGCAGGCAGATCATGCAACCGTGCACTGCTATTATTACTTTTTAGGGTAAATTACGAATTTAGTATATAAACTATCAATTTGATCCTTTCAGTATTTAAGCTTTCGATTTTTTCAAAATCATACCTACGTTTAGTTTTTATTTCATTTTAGTACCCTACGTTAAAAATTTACTGTATTTTGTACCTAAACTATCAATTTTGACTGTTCTAGTACCTAAACTTTCAAAATTTTCAAGGCTTAACGTTAAATTTTGAACAATAATACTAAAATGAAACAAAAACTAAAGATTTTAATGATGGAGTACTAAAATGAAATAAAAATTAAACTTCAAGTATAATTTTAAAAAAAATAAAGTTTAAGTATTAAATTGGATCAAAACTAATAATTAAATACTAAACGCATAATTTACCAATTTAATATAGAGAATATAGCTTTTTATCTTAAAGATATGTTTACATGAATACATATATTCTGCTGCACAAGATGAGCTCACAATCCACTTTGAAGAGACATTGATCGGCTAGTTAAGTTGACCCGTGACCAAAAGAACATCATCATTTGATTAGACAAAAAGGCAAACCTCACACCCTCCCATTTTAGTCACATTATTAACACTAATTACTATTATCATTATGTCTTTGAACCCTTTCTGGCCCTTTTTTTTTTTTGCCTATTCCTTTCCACTTTGTTTTGTCGACATGAAATGATTTAAGGGTAAATCACGTATTTAATATCTAAATTATCAGTTTTGGTTTGTTTTAGAATTTAAGCTTTTAATTTTTTTAAGATCATATCTAAAGTTTAATTCTTGTTTTATTTTATTACCCCGCCGTTAAACACTTAACGCTTTTAGTACTTAAGTTATCAGTTTTATTTTGTTTTAGTACCTAAACTTTCAATTTTTTTAAAATCATACATAAAGTTTAGTTTCTGTTTCATTTTAGTACCCGTCGTTAAAAACTTAACGCTTTTAATACCTAAACTATCAGTTTTGGTCCGTTTTAATACATAAACTTCAATTTTTTCAAAACTTAACGTTAAATTTTGAGCGGGCACTAAAATGAAATAAGAACTAAAGTTTTTAACGGTATGTACTAAAATGAAACTAAAACTTAGGTGTGGATTTAAAAAAAATAAAAATTTAAGTACTAAAACATTACAAAGCTAATATTCTATGATTTAAAGACTACAACAATTCTTTGAAGGTGTTCGATTAATAGAAATTTTCTCTAACTTTATTTATATTTCGAAATATGTTGATAAAGTGCTCGACTTGTGCTCGTTAATTTTTTTTATTTGAGTAGACTCGTTGCTCGTTAAGCTCGTTAAAATTTTACTCGACTCGTGCTCTCTAAGAAAATTTATTGCTTAACTCGTTGCTCACTAAGCTCATTAACCTCGTTGCTCGTTAAGCTCACCAAATTTTTTATTTTATTTTTTAATTATAAGTAAAATCTATTAATATTGTATAGAACTTAATATAAACATAAATTAATAAATTTAACAAAAAAATATCAAAAGAGTGTATGAAATAAATTTAAAGTCCAAATATTAAAAATAACAATTCATAAATATATTAAAATAATAATTAGTGTTTGATTTTTTGGTGTAGTAAAATAATAATTATCAATTAATAATTCAATACTTTTAATTATTTATTAGAAAATTAATATATTAGTAATTTATCATATTTTTTTTATAGTAAACTAGTAATTTTTTTGAATGAAATATTTTTTAAGATAACTACTAAAGAGTTATAAAAAAAAATTAACGATTTGCTCACGAACTTATCAAGTCGAGTTGGACTTTCCTTGACTCAGCTCGTTAAGATCTCGAGTCGAACTCCAATTAGATTTGAGCTAACCTAAATCGAACTTTTATCAAGTTTTGACCAAGTCGAGCTCTCAACTGATTAATCACCCCTAGTTGAATCTATAAAGTCAACAAACAAGAATTTTAACATTTCATTCTGGATTTCGTCGATAAAATAAAACAAAATCAGTATCTATATCTATGTTATTATAAACTCTTAACCAAGTTATAAATGCACCATGGTTCATTAGTAGTTTGACACGCATGATCAATAGTTGTTAATTGATAACAAATAAACATGAAATAGTATTAAGGACCTAAATTAACATTTTGGATTATCATTTCATGTACAATATTAAAAAACTATTATACCAGTACGTATATTTGAATGATATTTAATATATTTTAATTTTTTTTGACAAAAATAGAATCACTTAATTTTATTAAGAAAAACGAAATATCTAAAATTAACGAGGACTTGTAATTAGATCACAAGCTAAGCATATAATTAGGATATTTTTCTATAATCATTACCATAATAAATTAGTCAATATCATATATGAGAAAATAACATAAACAAAGACATAAAAAACATGAAACGTACCTTCGTTATTGTTAGGTATGGCTCATAAATATACCAGTAAAGAGGACAGGAGATGGAGCGGAGTGAGCGAAGCGAACATCATCTGTCCTTACAAAGAAAGTCTCGTTGTGGGGTTACGAATTATGTGGGTTGGGGGTGCGGGGGCTGCGCACCCGCGGTACGGTACAGGGTTGATTTTGTAATTATGTACCAGAGTTTTCTATTATAAATAGAGATGTAACCTAGACCTAAAATATCATTGAATAAAACTTCTAGCGCCGCCTAGGCACCGAGGACGTAAGCACATTGTCGAACCTCGTAAAATTCTCGTGTTCTTTTATTTTCTTTACCCGTTTTCGTCAACAAATTGGTATCAGATGTCAGGAGAAAAATTCGAAGTCACGAAATTCGATGGTCAGGGTAACTTCGGATTATGGCAAACGAGGGTGAAGGATCTATTGGCGCAGCAAGGGATCTTGAAGGCTTTGCGACCTTCAAAGCCGGCGTCGATGGATGAGGAAGATTGGGAAGAATTGCAGCAGCGAGCGGCAGGAACCATACAATTATGTTTGGCGGACGAGGTCATGTATCACGTCATGCATCTATCGTCTCCAGACGAAATTTGGAGGAAGTTAGAAAGTCAGTTTATGTCAAAATCCTTAACGACAAAACTGTATCTGAAGCAGCGGTTGTATGGGCTGAAGATGCAGGACGATCACGATTTGGCGCAACACGTGAATGTCTTTAATCAAATCGTTTCTGATCTGACTCAGCTTGATGTGAAAATTGAGGATGAAGACAGAGCGATAATTCTGTTGTGTTCGTTGCCTCCCTCTTACGAACACATGGTGACTACTCTTACATATGGGAAAGAGACTATCAACGTTGAGGAGATTACTGCAGCCTTGTTGGCTCACAACCAGTGGAAGCAGAATGCAGGGGAAAGCTCTCAAGCTGATAGCTTATATGTCAAGGGTAATCGAGATCGTGGACGGAAGCCAGAGAAGGCAGGGTCCGGGAAGCGGAATTCCAGATCCAAATC